CCCAGACAACTGAATCTTTTTATTTCAGGCATTGTATTTTTCCTAAAATTTCTATTTGGAACTTTTTTATGTGTTTAATTCCTCTGCTGAGTTTTATTATCTCTTCATTGATTACAGTGTATTTTCCTTTACCTCAATGAACATATTAGCTGCTTTATAGTCATTGTCCGATAATCTAATGTCTGTATCATCTGAAATTTAGTCTCTTTATTATCTTTTCCTTTGAGAATAAATCCCATTTTTTTGGTACTGTTTATGTCAAGTAATTGTGAATTGTGTCTGGCATTATGAACATTGTTTTGGAGTCTGTATTCTGTTTTATTCCTCTGCAAAGTGTTGATCCTTTCATTTAGTAAGAAATTAACTTGGTTGAAAACAAACTGAATTTTGTCTAGCTTATAGTGGGTAATAATAGCTCAAATCTTGCTTAAGTTCTTTTATTTGGAATAGCAGGAGGATATTCTATTTTTGGCTCTTTTATCTGAGCTTGTTGCATTCTGCCTTTTATGTTATTCAAATCAAATTAGGACTTAGCCAGAAATTGTCTGAGTTTATATAAAGAATTCAGGGTTCCCCCTCTCTGGTTCTCCTTTTCAGAATTCCTGCCTTATTCTCTAGCTTCCCCGGGCTTGCTTCTCCTGGTTTCTCAGGCCAGAAAGATAGCAGGCTTTTTGTTTGTTTATTTATTTGTTCATTCCACCTTCATTTATTAAGAAGCTGCTACTACTATGTGATAGGACTTTAGGTGATGCTGGGCATATAACAATGAGGAAGACAGAGAGGCACTCTCCCAAGAAGCTCATGGACACTGTTTTTAAGTTAAAGCTAGAACAAAAAAAAGTTGGAAGATGTTAAATGTAAACCAAAAGAGTGAATCACTCATCAGAGCTTTCTTTTTACAACCTAAATGTTTGAAGCTCTTCATCCTCCATGAGATACAACTTCAGAGATTTTTCAGACCAGCATATAGCGTCTCTACATGCACTGGATATTAAATATGGATGTGGCTTATTTTCTGTTAATCTATGCTGTTTGGCACTATCTGGTGCTACCCTCAGATCCTGTATGCTGATAGAACTGCCTGTTTGAGAGGGCTTCTCTCTCATCTGGGCTTGAAAAATAACAGAGTTGTACAAATGATGACTATTTCTGCATACACTTGCAGCATATGCCCAATATGTCTTGTATTAAGGTCATCATCCTTGTCTTGGTTTCTGACTGTATTCATATTGAATGTGCTCATTCCCATTCATTCATGCTTGTTGAGAGCAGGCTTTCTATGTGAGTTTTGCCACAGCATCATGATTTTAGTCTGTCTATAGATCAAAGCCAAAATGGGAAATTCACTTGGTGTTGGTCACTTCACATTTTGACTCTGACTGCTTCTTTCTGTTTACTCTCTTGACCCCTCAGTTGTTTATATAAATATATATAGTTGAGTTTAAAGTAGTTATCTGTGGAAGGTCAGTCTGTTAGGAGCTCACTCCTCCATACTAGAAGCAAAACTATCTAACCCAAAGTAACAAAAACATTTTAATTTTTAGATAGAAATAATTAATTACAAGGTTTATGCATGCTTAATATTTCCAAGCATTATATTTTTGGCATATGTACATGTTTTAAGAGAAGCAGAAGTATCCTTTTACTTGTCCATTCATAACCCACAATTTTACTACCTCAAAAGAAGTTTATTTCCTTGTTCTAATTCAATCATCTAACAAACAGCCTTTTTTTTTTTTATCCTCACCCGAGGACACCTTTCCATTTTTTGTTCACATAGAGTGGGAGGGAGATAGAGAAACATCGATGTGAAAGGGACACATCGAGTGGCTGTCACCCACACGACCAACCAGGGCTGGGGACAAACTGCAACCGAGGCACATACCCTTAGTGGGAGCCGAACCCGGGTCTCTCCAGACCGCAGGCCGACGCTCTAACCGCTGTGCCAAACCGGCCAGGGCACAAACAGCCTTCGATAATCCGGGAGGCAACCAACCTATAGATTCAAATCAGTGCTATTTAAACTGTGATCTGCCACCCAGCCAGTGTGGCTCAGTGGTTGAGCGTTGGTCGACCCATGCACCAAGAAGTCGCCGATTTGATTCCAGATCAGGGCACATGCCCAGGTTGTGGGCCAAATCCCCAGTGAGGGGCATGCAGGAGGTGGCCAATCAATGTTCTTCCTCATCTATGTTTCTAGCTCTTTCTCTCCCTCTCCCTTCCTCTCTCACTAAAATCAATAAAGAAAAAAAAGTTTAATAATATATAAATATTTAAATTGTGATCTGCCAACCAGTGCTAGTTACATGAACTATTTGTTGCCTTGTCCATGATGAGGACAAAAATGAGAACACATGTTTGAAACTTTCATAGGGTAATTTTATATCTGCTAAATATATAAAAAAAAAAAGGCCTTTTATTTTACATGCCTTTGGTTTTACCTTTTTTCTAGCAACTAATTTTTCCTATACTTTAAAACAAAACACTGGTGGGAGATGGTTTGGAAATTAAGACCAAAACACTGGTTCTTCCCACACATAATTTGAGAAACACTGGTCTAGATTGAAAATAAGAAAATAACTTGGGGAAGTTCTCAAGTTAACCATTTAATAGGAGATATGAGGCTAGACTGTAATTTGAGTATAGCAACAGTTCCTGAATGACCTGGATAGGCTAAAATGTTCCTTAGCTACAGAAAGTCCTAATCAAGTTGATTTTTCTTGAATAGCAGCCCATATATCAGAAAAAGAATTCAGCACTCTTATCTTTCAGCTGAGATTAAAATATTATTTACTTGTTCAGTTTGAGAAGTTACTGTCTTACCATTTAGGTGAGAAGTAAAACAATACATTCAGAGGAAGAACAATAATAGTAAAGAACAAACCCAGTAATGAAGAGCCTACTGTTCAATCAACTCTGTGTAGAGAAAAACAACCCATTATGTGGTATTTTAATTTCCATTTTGGAGATAAGAAAACTGAATCTTGGAGAAGCAACTTAATCAAAATCATAGAGCAAGTAAGTGACATAAGCTAAATTGATTCCAATTTAGATTTTGTCTGATTCAAAAGTCTCTCCACTTAACGTTACTGTTCTTCATTAGCCACCAGACTAGCCCATATAGAAATTATTTATTATATAACCAGGCAGATGGTTTCAAGTGCTCTAGTAATACAGTGCTAGAAAGTAACTGGATAGTAGAGAGTACCTAGGTCTCCCATTCAAGGATTCGTCAGTCTTCACCAAACTTAGCTCAGAAAATCTATATCAAAGTATGAGGTGACAGTGAGTCAGCATTTTGGAAGGCAGGTAGGGATAGGGAAGTAATAAGCAAACTATTTATGAATCATTGTAGATGTTTATGCTCATTAAGAGTTTCTGAATACCCACTCTCTTTGCCTATCAGAGGTGTGGTTAAGTTCTCTTTAAAAATTATAGAATTAAAAAATATCGGCTGTCATCTTGTCCTTGCCAAGTGGGAGAATGGAACAGAAAGGCTAAGGCTTTTGTGCTTTCACACATATTAATTCATTCCAATAGGTACTCTAGCTTAAGCTGAACACAACTAGGCTAGGATGTTCTTTTGGGGAATGTACTTGCAAGATAATATTTCATTGTCCCTATACTTTAAGATTTTCTTAACAACATCAGTGGTCAGTATAAATTGAATCTAGTTTAAATCAACCTAATTCTATTTATCCTAGCAAGGAAGTGTGTTTTTTAACAACTGTCTAATTTTTTACAGAAATAATTTTTGCACATTTTCTTCACCATACACGAGGTGATTGGGATTCCGCTTCAATCAGAAAAATTCCTTTGTGGTATCCTCTCCATGTCCTTCCTGTGTCCTCTGTAACAGAAAATTACCAGCAGAGAAGCATTTCCTCTTCACCCAGTTCCTGTTCTCTTATCACAATGTATCCTTTACCCACCCTTCCTGCTCTGCAGGGGAATTTGAGAGGGCTGGGAATGATGGCTAAAAGTTTGCCCTCTATCCAACACCACCAGTTCCAGAATGTGTCCAGTATGTATGTGTCTAATTCCTTTGCATATTTATCAGTTCCCGCTCAATTTCCTCTTCCATGCGTCTTTGTGCCACAATGGATTGATGCCAAGGTGCTTTTCCCCTACAGACACTTCCAGGCCACCCAGACGTCACTCCAAGTCCCAGGAGAACTGAAAGTGTCAGCTCCGGTTCCAGTGCCCCTTCTACCATGGTGTGCGAGGCGTGGAATGGAGACAGAAAGAGGAACATTATATTACCCTTTCCACCCATTAGTCCTATGCTTTCCCCATGACCCTTCCCTTACCAATCACTCCTTACTCCTCGCCACCATTCCTGTATTTCCCCTCCTGCGGCTACCATTGTTTGAGGTTGTGTTAGATACAGTTTATACACATTAGCCCATTCCATCTTAACCCTTATGAAGTGCGTAGCAATGCTAGTAGCTAACCTTTGAGTGCTTTCTAGGGGCCAAGCCTTGTCTGGGGCATTACATGCAGGACGCCTCCAACCTGCGAAGAGCTGCTTCCTCCTCTCCGATAACTCGGCTGATGTTCGGCGTCCCGGTTAACAGTGCAAGTAACTGGCAGAGGCAGGATCTGAATTCACGTCTGACGGGCTCTAAAGCGCCTTCATCATTATTTTCAACCCTTAATCTGGCGAACATTGGGCCATTTCACCTCTCCTCTCCAGTTTTCCTCCCCCTTTCCTGACCCCCCCCAAGTCCTCTGTGCCCCTTTAACGTCCTACGGTTCGCCCACTTCCCTTGACCTCCACCTTCCTGTCTCAGTCACGCCCGCCCCTCAGGTGCTTCACTCCGTCTCTCCTTGAGACCCTCGTCCCCAGCATTCCTTTACCCCTCTTCCCACACGCCCCTCCTCCACACGCCCCGCCCCTCGCCGAGCCCCGTCCCGCGGGAGCGCCCCTCCCCAGGAGGCGCCCGGAGGGTCCTCCCGCTCCCCGGCAGCCCCCGGCAGCCCCCGGCGCGGTGCAGTCTGGGGGAACATGGCCGCTTCCGGTCTCCCTCCCGGGCCGGCGCTGGGCTGACCGCGGCCCCGGCCGGCGCACTCCGCCCTCCGCTCCTCCCGCCCGGCAGCCGCGGAGGTCGCCTCAGCCTCTCCCCCGCCGCCCGCGCCGCGCCATGGAGAAGAGCTCGAGCTGCGAGAGTCTCGACTCCCAGCCGGCGGCGGCACGGCCGCCCAGCGTGGACTCCCTGTCCAGGTAACCGGGACGCGCAGGGCCCCGCCCCGCGGCCAGGCAGAGCGGCGCCGACCCGCCGAGCAGTCCGGCTGCAGCGCTCTGGGCGTCGGAGCCGCGCCGGAGCTCCCTCCCCGGACTCGAGAGCCACTTCTCCCCTCTCTGGGGCGCAGAGGCGGGTAAAAGGAGGTTCAGACTCCCTGCTTCTCTGTCGCCCCCTCTGCCTTTTGTATTCCAGTCTAGAGTTATCCCCGCTTGAGGTAGCCCCAGTTCACCACTTTCTCGGATCCCTCTTTGCCTCTTAAATCATGTTCTTAGACAGCCCTTCCCCCTCTCTCCTTCCCCACGTCCTCCCTGCCTCTCTCTCTACCACTCTTTCCCAAACTACCCTCTAGTCTTTCTTCCATCTGTCCTTATGTCTGGTTTTTGAATTCTTGCCCACCCCTTTCCTCTCTTTTCCATCACTTCACTTCCTTATCTCTTTGATGATTTTCCCTACTCTCTGAAGCCCTCCTCCCACTTTCCTTAAAAATGTAAATAAAAGTGCCTACTGTGCTTGGCTTCTCTAAATCTTCCAGCTGAAAGTCATTATCCAGGAATAATTCCTATCACTGAGTGAATAGTGAGTGGTAGTTTTCTTCCTTCTTCGTTACCTGGTCTCCAGGTTGTTTCACTTCTATCTGATGAGATTTCCACCCCCTGTAATTTCGAGAACTTAATATGTAGCTTGGAGAGGGTTCTTGTGAATGAATAATCAACTAGACAGGTTTTAGGTGCAATTTTTTTCTTTGGTTTTAAAATAGTGATTTAAGATTTTATTAAGAAATTATTGGAGATCACTGTTATATAGCAACAATGAAATCATTTTTTTTTTTAAATCCCTAGGATATGCTTTTATTGACTTTTAGGGAGAGGAAGGGAGAGAGAGAAACACCAATGTAAGAGAGAAACTTTGATCCGTGCCTCTGGTAACTGCCCCAAATGGGGATGGAACCGGGAAGCCAACCAACTGAGCCACCTGGCCAGGGTGAACTCAAGTTCTTTTCTGTGCACACACAATTTCCACCACCGCCCCCCAAATGAATTGAAGTTGCTATGTCCCTTTTTAAAAAAAAAAATATTTTTTCTTTATTGATTTTTAGAGAGAGAGGAGGGGGGGAGAGAAAGATCGATGAGAGAGAATATTGATTGGCCGCCTCTTGCATGCCCCTGCCGGGATTGGGCCCACAGCCTGGGCCTTTACTCTAATTGGGACTCAAACTGGCCACCTGTTGGTACATGGGTCGATCGATGCTCAACCACTGAGCCACGCAGGCCAGGCTGCTGTGTTCCTTTTAATTCATTATGGATTCTGATAAATATGGCATTTTTCTTATTGCTATTAAAGGCCTCATTGGGAAATTAACAGCTGATCCCATCATTTTAAACTACATCCTCTTTCTATAGGCACCTGCCTATCCATTTTTTTTTGGAGTCTTTAACAAGCACTGTTGTTGGTTTAATTGCTTTCTCTACTACACTATAAGCTACTAAGCACAGAGACCATATTTTCCTCAGCTTCATATCTCTGCAGTTAACAGAGACCCTGCATATTAGAGTTGCTCAGTCAATTTTTTTTTTTTTTAGATTGTAGCATGAATTATCCAGGAGAGAATTTTTCTTTGTGTTTGATTATGTATATTGTGCATTTGTTTCCAGCATTTTGTGAAATCTATGTTTATTAGTCTCAAATTTAGAAAGCTGAGGACTTACATACTCAGCTGTAAAACCATTAAGAGAACAGATTGGGAAATTATAATTTTACAGGAAAATTACAAATGACAACTGTGGTTCAGAATGGAATGTAAAGAAAACAGTGAGGCAACCAGTAATTTCATCCAAGTGAGAGGATTTAGAACCACAAGAGGCAGCATCGTCTATTAGAAAAAGGAAAGTATTGAAGTCAGGAGGCCTATGTTCTATAGTCCTTGTCTCAGGTAGCTATTTGGTCTGTATCATTTAACTTTTCTGGTCTGCAGTTTTCTCATCTTTTAAAATAAGGGGGTTGACCTAGCAAATCTGTAGGGTCTCTTGGAACTAAAATTAAATCATTCTTGATAACACTAAGATGAACAAATTCGTATCGATTATCATTCTTCAATTATGAATGCATTCTTGTCAGTTACTAAGATGAGGGCATTCTTATCAAATATTCTCTTTACAAATAACCTTTGAAATCACACTAAATAAATGCTGTCTGTTACTATAAATTAATGTACCTAATTGTGCCACTTAAACACATTTATTTCCTAAAGATAAAGGCTAGCAGCTGTAGTTAGAGTTTATAGATCTAGTTTAACTTCTTAATAAAAATATTATGTTTCTGACAGAAGAATTTGAGAAAAATAAGAACTCCTTGAAAGAATTTGAGTATCGTGTTAGCCTCATCCTCTGTGGATGAAAGTATAAGTATGACTTTCTCCTTTCCACATGACAATGCCAGCTTTAGTTACTCTCCTCTGGAAGGTAGAAAGATAACTTTTATTGAATGTCTGCTGTATAGAATTCACCCTTGCTAAATTGTTTTAGTTCATGAGTCATACCTATTGGTGGCACTCTCTTTAATCAACATTATAAATAGCTGCATTGTAGACACTTGTTGGAAAGCTTTTAAACTTAAGCTATGCTAATAGTCACAGGTGATTCTAATACAAAGGCAGGGTGGACAATCATGGTTATAGCTATGCTAAGTGGCTATCCAGATTAAGTTGTAATTTTGTTAGCCTATGATTAACCACCATATCGATGTTTGAACTATAGTATCTCAGCCTTTTGCAGAAATATCACCCTTAAATTGTAGTTTATGTCATGCCTTTTGTTTTATACAATTAGGAAATTTTTAATTTCAAATTTTCAATTAGGAAATTGGTTTATGAACTTGTTTTGATATCTCCTGCAAAATATAGTTAATAATACTGTTCCATGTGTTAGAGATTGTTTTTTACATACTAGGTTGACATAAATTTCTGCTCAGTTTAGCTCCAAGGAAAATGATTTATGCAAAAAAGTATGTATGCTTCCTATTAGTTTGAAAATGGAAACTACTGTAACTGCATTGTCCTCTTCAGTTTAGAAAAAAGACTTCAGTCATATTTGTAACTGAAGTTGGTAATGTACTCATCTCTAATTTCTTCAATACTTCTATTAGATGGTTTCAGTTTAAATACTATGTCATGTTTAAATATGTTAATTTGTAAGATGTTTTGGGAAGTATCTAAATCTGAAAAATAATACACAAACTCATCTGGTTGCCCATTTTTTAAAAATGACACACTCCATTGAAGTTGGATGACTGGTTCTTGTGGGATCCGTAGTTCACAGTAAACATATGTTGAGTCTTGGTGTATATAGTCATCTCAGACTTGTTATTGCTTCTAGCTTTGCCTTCTAGGTCGTCACAGGTCTGATGCCTTTAGTCACAAAAGAGCAGTTTCATTCTTTCCTTTGATTTTTGAAAAAGAAAAGTCAATTACAGGTGACATTCCATATTATATTAGTTTCAGGTGTACAACATAGTGGTTAGACATTTACATACCTTACAAAGTGATCCCTGAAAAGTCTAGGACTTACCTGGTACCATAAAGTTATTACAATGTTATTGACTATATTCCCTGTGCTGTATACTTTATATCCTTGTGCATTTCATTCTTTATGTGATATCCAAATAATAGCAGTTTTCCTAATCGGCATCCTTAAAAACAGTAATTTTCTTTGGTGACTCCTTCTTGGTATTGTCTTGTTTCAGTGAGCTTTTGAGTAGCTCTTGTATATCCTGCTCTTCTTCAACATGTTCAGCCCTACACAGAGACTTGTGAAAAAATTCACTTCAGCACAATGATAATCTGGCTGTATTCTATAATATTATTCTTGTTCATCTTGCTCTGATTCTTTATGTAAGCGTGACTTATACAGGCTATGGATAAAACAATACTGGAGGCTATAGATGATAGCTATCTATGAGAGCCTCAGAATTGTATGAATTGTATGTATGAGAATTGAAGAATGTATTGGTACTATTCTGCCTTACTCTGTTTTTCAATTTGTACACTTATAAACTGTACTGCTTGAGTGTGTTTCTCTACTTTTTACTGTGCATACTATACATAATCAAATGCTAATACAGCTTACCCTTGAACAACATGGGTTTGAACTGCATTGGTCCACATATAGGTGGATTTTTTCAATAAATACCTGTACTGTTTCAATTGTAGTTGGGAGTCCACAGATGTGGAGGGCCACTGTATGCAATTATTTGCACAATTTTATATAGGAGACTTACATATCCGTAGATTTGGTATCTGCTGGGGTTCCCGGAACCAATCCCCCACAGATAACTGAGAGACAGCTAAGTTTTGGGGGAGTCAAAAGTTATACCTGGATTTTCAACCCCAGCATTGTTCAGGGGTCAGCGTATATATCTAATGCCAAATACGTGCCCAGTGAACATTTGAATAAAGAAATGTTGACTAAATGTTCACCACTTGTTTTATTTGTTGTTTCCACTCAAAGGCTTAAAAAGGGTTTTTTCCTGTTGAATTTGACCTATAGAGACACAATTTCAGGTTCAAACTGAAGTTATTCTTACATGAAGCCTCTTGATTCCCTGAACTGATTTTACTGGCTGTATTATATTTTCTGTGTCTAGTCCTATATCTCTTCATAATATTATGTTCTTTTAGCCTACCTGCTTTTCCATCTGCTGTTCTTTTTCTATCCTCACCCGAGGACATTTTTCCATTTTTTTGTTCAGATAGAGTAGGAGGGAGAGAGAGGAAGAGAGAGAGAGAGAAACATCGATATGAAAGGGACACATCGACTGGCTGCCACCCACACAACCCAATCAGGGCTGGGGACAAACTTCATCTGAGGCACGTGCCCCCAGGGGGAACCAAACCCGGGTCTCTCTGGACCGCAGGCCGATGCTCTAACTGCTGAGCCAAACCGGTCAGGGCCCACCTGATATTCTTGATTACTTATTTCTCTTT